GGGGGGGGGGGTGGACACTTCTACTTAAAATGTTTAAGTAACATCCTGAGAATGCCCAAAAGAATGAGAAGAAAATTACTGACTTTTTCCTCAAAATACACAATTATAGGACAATTTAGATTTTAATAGAGATTTACAGCTAAATAAAAATACTCCATGTCAACTTAGACAAAGCCACTTGATTCATGTTAAGATGATGAAAAGCGAAGTCTGAGTAAGCACACGTTTGTGGTAATAAGTTGCAACTTTGGAGTTACTTAAGAATGCAAAAATATGGAATAAAAATCTTAAAGATGAGAAAATAACTGGAAAGGATTGAAGTAAATTTGGTACCCAAAGAGAAACAGCTCAAGTTGAGATGGCATGAATACAAACTATTTACCATGTCATCCAAATGGCATACTTTGTATGGATGTGTTTTTCTAAAGCATATCCCCTTTCCTTTTCCAACTTATTTGTTTTTTTTGTGTGTGTGTGTGGGGGGGGGGGTTGCAAAGTGCCTTAAACTTACTGCTTTGCACGTTTCGTGTCAGTTTCTGATGAAGAACTCTTGCTTTGAGAGGAATCTTTTTTCTCAGCAGACCCTTTGCCAGATTCGGCTAAATCCTGCTTGTCGCTTCCTGCAGATTTAGGCCTGTCTCCGTCTTGTGGGAGGCAAGGTGATCCAGAGCTCTGAATACGGAGATCTTCCCTAGGAGAGGAAAGGTTACGGAGATGCAATACTGTATTTGAAGATGCATCCTTTGTCCTATTCTTCTGTTGGACTGAGGAGTTTTGATCAACATAAGAAACAGCATGCCGAACATCTTTGTAATAGTCAAAGTCTTGTGACCCCCAGGAAGGGATACGAGTCATATTTCCGAACTTGTTATCGACTTGAGCTACGTAATCTACGCCTGCAATGTTAGCAGCATCAAAATATGCAAAGGAGTCACTTGATGAGCGTCGATGGCTGCCTCTGCGTACAGGAGTTTCTGGCTCATTAAGAAGATCGTCCAACCAAGAGGGTTGCTCCTCTATAAGACAGCTTTCAGAGGAAGTACGCTGATGGTGTGAATTTCCATCTCTGGGTTTCAGGATGCCCTTTTGGTTGACAGCAGAACTGGGGACATAATCGAGATAAGACGGGGCCATGCTAGGAAATGGACTTTTAGGAGGCAGTAAAGAGCACCTTCCGTTGTACATCATACTTCTCATACTAGATGGCCCCTTAGTGTTCGCCATAGCAAAGCGCACAAGATCCCTATAAGATAAAGAACATATATTTGAAAGTGGGATAAGTAAACCTTCAAAAGTATAACAGCTCTTGATAAAGGCAAATCCAGTAAAAATAAAATAGAAAGAAAACTTTGTGCTACAGGTCCCTGTAAAGATCCCATTATTTAGCAAGCGGAGTATCACACCAAATCCCAAATTTCTTTTCCAATAATTACGAGTCAGATTCCAGACCCAAAAAGGAGATGAAGCAACAATAGGCACTGAAAACATTCTGCACCATTAACTATATGAACAAATAGCAGTCCCGTCAATGGGATATAATCAAATTCAAAGAAACCATGATCTTTCTGGAAAATCTAGCCTTCCTAAAAGACCAGGTATTTTCCCTATAAGAAAAAGAACATACATATGAAAGTGGGATAAGTAAACCTTCAAACGTTAACAGCTCTTGATAAAGGCAAATCCAGTAAAAATGAAAAACAAAAATACACTTTGTGAACAAAAAGACAATCTTATTATTTAGGAAGCGAAGTATCACGACCAAATCCAGAATTTCTTTTCCAATAAATATGAGTCAGATTCCAAACCTAAAACTAAAGGAGATGAGGCAACAATAGGCACTGCAAACATTCTGCTCCATTAACTATATGAACAAAAATAGCAGTCCCGTCAATGGGATATAATCAAATTCTAAGAAACCATGATCTTTATGGAAAATCTAGCCTTCCGAAAACCCAGGTATATTCGAGTATTCAGGGAATTCCCTGTCCATTCCAGATTGCATCAATATGGATGATCCATTGGGGATCTCAAATCATTCATTTATGAGCTTCAAGCCTTGCAAGCTTTTGAGATCTTGTATTAATTTCTGTTCATTTTCAAGGTAGAGTTTCTGGCCCTTATAGGATCGGAACCATGAAGCACAAATACCTTATTCCAAGCAACCAAGAAAGAATAAAAAGGGGAACAAGGAAGAAAAGGTGAAGTAGGAACACATTTATCACCAAGAGTTGGGTGAAGAGGAAGAAATGCCTCCCATTTGGAACTGCAACAGCAATCAAAAATATAAAGACAGGCTTCAGCCTCCGGGGAGGAGGCTCATTCTTACATTTCCTCTTTCTTTTTCCTTTCTGTTTTTGATAAGGAATGAGGAGGTAATGTGTGGGACATGGATTGTGTCAGAATCCAGTAACTGTTTGAAACCATTATGTTTTCTACAGCCCTGTACTAAAGTAATTTAATGGTTCCAAATTTAGATTATCCTATCTACAAAGTGATTTATGCTGGAAATGAGACAACACCTTGAACCGCCCCCACGGACAAGCCCAAGACTACTGCCACAAATGAATGGGCGAAAGCACCCACAGAAAAATTAACAAGGGAAAGAAGAATTAATCACAAGTTCATAACCTTATTCAAAAGGACAAGAATTGTTTCCTAATGCTGTAACTTGCACGTAGACTTTTCCTTAATTGTACTGTTATGTGGAAGAAAGAAGCACTATTTTAGCTTATCTAGATCCTTCTTCCAGCTGGTATCACTTGGGACATGAAAAGCAGAAGAAGCTAAATAGCTTTAACTTTGACTTTATTTTCATCATCTTAGTATTGGCAATGGTCAAAACATTCTCTTTGTACGTCACGACTCAAACATGAATTTTCACATGAAGATTACGCTAAATGTATGCTTCTCAGGCTGGAAGCAGTTAGCAAAGCAAATTAATCTCACAAGGAAGGGAGCTAAGAAGGTTGGATTGCCATTATCTCTGTTGGAAGGAGAAAGAGTCCATAAATCGCATATTTGGCTTGGAATTCTTGTGTATGTTCTGCTCCTCGTAAGATCACTGGATAATATACCAATTGGGTCTAGACAATGTAAGAGGTTGTTTGATTCTAAACTTGAAAAGTTACAAAAGAATCTGGAGCGCCGATGCTCACTATTTGAAATAGTCCATCTGGAAAGGAAGCAACAATTGATGTACTCATGAAACGGCCTAGGTGGGGCACAAAGATAAGCTCATTTCCCTGGAGAGCTACTATTTCGGCTGCTAGAAAGGACAACCAATCAACAGAATGTGTTACCATCTTGTAAACTCATGTCACTCATTTGTTTGATGACTAAGTAATCCATGGAAGCTTTGCGAGGAGAAACCCCCCCCCCCCCCCCCCTTTGTACACTTCAATGAGAAGAATTCTTTCCGTGTCAATGAAGGTTCATTCCCAATAATGACCAAACAAACTCCAAGCATCCAAGTTCAAGAAATTAATCAAAGTCTGCCGCACTTGAAGCGGTCTGCAAAGCCTGAGTGAAAACCATAGCACAGCAGCACAACGAATTGATTTTATCAACATTATCTATTTGCAATGAGAAACGGGAAAGCGCTCCATCTTCACGTAAATTTAAACAATCAAACGGTCAAAGTGTAGCCACAATCTCTCTGCAAGCTCTTCAAGATAAATCTCTATCTACAAATAGAGATAAATCTCTATCTACATGAGCACTCATCCTTATATCCCAATAAGTTCATCAACCTTCTACCAAATTAACAATCATAACTTGCTTCGATATATTTGATCGAGTACAATCTAACAATCATAGTTTTGTGTGAAATTATCTTCTTCTTCTTTTCTATGTATGCTACTTGGACAAGAAATTTTCCCCATTCATCAGTTAAATTATTGCCATATACAAAACCAGTTAAACAATCAGAAAAATTGAAGAAAAAAAACTGATTTTCCCCCAAATCTCAAACTTCAAAGCATAAACTTGCTAGTTTTTAATCAAATTATCCTCCCTTAAACAAAGAAGTGCCAATTAATCACACGAAAAAAAAAAATCAAACTTTTCTCCAAAATTTTCTTCCTCAACTTTTGCTCACATTTTCATAAAAACCAAACAAACGACTTCAAATCGATCAAATAACAAAAAAAAAAACTACTTAACGAACATATGGACATATTTTTATTTTTCCAATGAAAAATGCTGACCTTTAATTGATAATGAAGAAATTTGCAATGTGATTTCAGGTACAATGGAGAATTAATCAATTCAGAAGCTCAGATTTCTTCTCTCTTAAGGCTAAGGTATCTTCTTTTTTATGGAATCTTTTTCCTCTTTCTTTCTTCTTCTTATTGACAATCTACTTCTTTCTCGTTGACGTATCCCGTTGAAAAGGTATACTGCCCCAAATGACCTGTTTTATTGCTTTCTTTATTTTTACTGTCTCAGCCCCACAAGTTTTCCTTATTCGTGAAACAGCCCCTAATCTATTTAACACGTTCATTTATCATAGTAGTATATTTTAGTTTAATCTACTTTTGCGGCTACATTGAACATATTATTAGGATATTTATTAAATGAGCTTTATATGATCAAAAACTACACCAAAAGTGTTGCAAGTTGCAATCATGTTAAAATAAAAATTAGCGCCAGAGTAAAGTGATTATTTTTATTTTTATGCAAAAATTAAATGATTCGTTTTATTCATATTGACAAATAAAATTATATTTTCTCGGTCGAAAATTACTACGTATATAATATTTTACTTTTTTGAAATTTCTACTTATGATGTTGATAATTGTTTTAAGTTTAGTAATATCAAACGCACTTCTTTTATAATTCTATTTTTTATGGATATTATCATGAATAGAAGATTAATGCCACTGGTTTCCCAACTCAGACTTTTTTAGCAATCCGTACTACATTATATTATTAGTATTAAAAATTGTCACAATTATTTGTTATGAGTATAGCTCATTATTTCGTATTCCACCCAACTAGTGGTGTGTGACAGAATTCATACAGCTCATTGTGACAGTTTCAACTCCCACATTATAGTTTCCCATAACAAGCCTTTATTTAATATCTTACTGAGAAAGGTGTATATTTCATTTTCTTTTTGAATTGGGCAATGAATAACTTCCCAAAATATGCATCATGTCTAGTGTAGGATATAAATATTAAAGCACATAGTGCAATCTTTATAAAATATAGGTTGGAAAGAGTGTGACGGGTGAACGCTCGTACTATATATACTCTGGTTTTGGCATTCTTGGGCCCCTTCCGGTAGGGATGTACATTAGGATCGGATATCCAAAATTCGAACCCATTTAAATTTCGGATTTCGAATTTCGGATTGAATCGGATTTCGGATTGTGTTTATTAAAATTTTGAATTTCGGATCAGATTCGGATTGGTATAATTTTAATACAATCTGATCCGCCGATCCGAAATCTGAAATTATTAGGGCACGTATAAATGCTAAACTTTAATTTCGAATAATTAGTACTTCCTTTACATTTTTCTCCGAGTTATTACCTTTACAATTGATGGATTTAGCTATATTGGCACCATGTACTCTTATAATTGCAGAAACATGAATTTTTCTTACTGTATTGCCTTTTTTACAAAAAAAAAATATACACTTCTAAAAAAAAAAGCTTTAGCTGATATTAAAAGCTATAAGCTATAAGCTATAAGTTGCGGACTCATATTAAAAAAATACTTCTCAAAATAAGCTATAAGTTCCCACCATGCTATAGCAAACAAACATAGCCAGTGTAATCCTACAAGTGGGATCTAGAGAGGGTAGTGTGTATGAAAACATTATCCCTACCTTGTGCAGGTAGAGAGGCTGTTTCCGAAAAACAAAACCCTCAGTTCAAGGAAAGCATATTGATTAGTCTTTTTCTAGCTTGATTGCAAAGCATGGTTTGGAAAGGTCAGCTGAGAAACGGTATACATCAACATTCAAACCTATTTCTTTGTGGCTGGCCCCAGTGCTTAACGTCAGGTTCCCTCCACATACATATGAAAAGTAAGCCAGCCAAACCATGCAGAGAGTTTGATAAGACTCCGGATAAGAAAGATCAATCCTGAATAAGCTTCAGCTGATTCTCATTATAAATCTTTTTATAAGCAAGGAGCTATCTACAGAAAGATACTTCTTCGCCAGGTCAGTCTGGTCGGAAAGAAGCTTGCTTGGAGTCGGACTTATTCTTTCGATAACTATTTTTTGTGCTTATAAAGCTAGGATAGTTTTAGAAGGAAGTACTATTTCGGAACGTATACATGAGTTGGATCTAGAACAACTAAAACAAAGGACCGAATTTATACTAAAGAAGCTTGGGAGGAAGGAGCCTAGCCTATGCTATATAGTAGAGTATTAGGCCTAACTCACAGGAAGATCTAAAGGCTATTAAATAGTCGCCTAAGCAGACGATGGACGAGACTCTGGAAGAGTGGCTGCAGTGCTATAGCAAACCAGTTGTACAGAACAACACCTTAGTCAACATCAGCACTTGGCATAATAATCACATACTAATTCTAGGAAGCATATGAAAGCTTTCTGCATATCTAGCCAATAGTAAAAATATTAACTATGTAGTAAAAATCACAAAGGACCACAACATCAGAACTGAGGCTTTATTGAGTAACGGAAAGGATAAGGGTGCTGATCTAATTGGTGATGAAGAGAGAAAGCCCGCTGGGAAAAAAAAAGTAAGAATTGATTCCATCATAAGAAAGAGAGCTGGAGGAGAACGAGTTCAATACACCGGATAAGAAGCATAGTATCATTGATTGCGAAAATATCTAAAATAAATTGGGTACCTTCTTACAAGAAAAATACCGGGGGAGGGGGTCGTTTAACCCCCTTACCCCTAACCTTATGCAACACTAACTCCTCTCAGTTGTCTACGGTCCCCTACCTAGTACTCTATTTGCAAAGGGCAAGTATAACAAGAGCACATTGAGTGAAGGTATTATGTATGGCTCACACAGAGCAAAATCAAGCTTTGGATTTGTATTAGTACAACTTGTAAACCTTGACAATAGAGGAATTCATGACCCAAGCAACTTCTTCCATCTTGCATATCCCAAGATAAGAAGGAAGAGTATTATGCAACCTATTGTCATGCCTGTTACAAAAGGCCAAAATACCCCCTCAGTGTGGTACAAGGTACAAGGTATATTCATGCCAAACCACCCAGCTATCAGCGTCTCCATAGCTATAGCAAATGATGCAATGGTCAATGTCAACTGCAGCTGAATAAGTTCATTACGCTGATTGTCGAGTTGGATATTGACGTAATCTTCTGTGTCATCAATGTACTCACGAACCTGCAAATTATACAATAACAGGGGATTGAGGGATGCAGAACAAAACAAGGAAGACCACAGACATGATTCAAATGCAGACCAAAATAACAGAAAAGTAAGAAGAGCGTTCACAAATTGTACTTATAATACTTAAGAAGAGAGAGTTAATAAATTGTGCATCAACTTATTCATCATTACTAATTGGTAGATGATATTAGGTCTTTTAGAGAATGCTAAGTTCCTGATAACCTAGTCCCTCGCATGGTTTTCATTCCAAATGAAGGGAGAGGAGGGGGGGGGGGGGGGGGGTATTGATTGAGAGAGAGAGAGAGGACATTGCACATTATCTCATCTGACTATTATAGGGGCCCAAGAGGAAACCTAACAAAAGAAAAGGAGGGAAAAGCAGAGGCAATAGATTAAACTGAGAGCTGTATATCTGCAGTTGGAATTAGCAAGGTATTGCAATGTCAAATTAAGAAAGAGATGCAGCTATTATTTGAATTCTTTTAATTCTTCAGTTTCTTTCCCAAGTCTGGAAAGCTTTCTTTACCTTACTGCTTTACCGGAATATGCTGCAAAGATCGACTATTGAGGAAGACATGGTTCATATCATAAAAATATCCTAGTTGATGGGGCTAAATTGAGGTTCCTTAAAGGTATGAATGCCTTATTTAATTCTTCTATTATGTGTGTAACTTGCATTAAAAGTAGAATCATAACTGTCAACAGGAAAGAGGAGCAACAAGTCTACGCCATTACCAACATAAAAAGACGCAAAAAAATGCAACGGATGCGAGCATATTTTTTTTGGTTTGGGTTGGGGTTGGGGGGGGGGGGGGGGACAAAAATACTTACAGATAATATCTTGTTACGAGTGCCTTCCAGCTGCATAAAGTAGGCATCGAGCAACATCTCCAGATCCTCCACATCATTGTCATTAAAATGGTTGCTCACCAAACTTCCACTTCTGCTTCTGGCAGAATTAAGCCTACGAAGATGCGGTGCAACAGGAATAAAGCTATTTGAAACAATAGTTCCCAAATGAGCCTCAGTTTGCTGATTCTGAATCCATTTCCTTGTCAAGTACAACTGAGCCATGTCTTCATTGTCATCTAAAAGGTGTTCAATTTCATCTCTAACCTATCATCAAAAAATCTTTACCACTGTAAGCATAACACAGAATAATCAGAGCACAGACAAGTGTCATGGAAGAGAACACTACAATGGAGTTCATCAATGTAGCCCACATGAATATTAAACCCTCCAATTGACTAATCAAAAGTAAGAGAACTAAAGTAGCAAAGGCTCCTTAATCCTTATATGTCTCCTCCCCAAAAAATTGTTTTGTACAGGCTATCATACCATTCAATAGCCAGCACATTCCCGAGTATACGTGCAAAATTTGGTCCAGCATAAGGCAGACAGATTGCACTACAAATGAACTCAATACTTAAGAGGCGGCATCGGAAGATTAACTTAAAGTGAACAACAAGGGCTATTAAAATTGAATGTGGTTTGTGTTTAAGGTATACAAACTGATACCAATAGTTGTTCACCCAATAAGTCATAACACAATGAATATGAAGTGCTTTACTAGTAATTCTGCATTCGAGATGATGACAACATGTAACAAGTTCTCTTCCTGGTCAAACAAATTTCCAGCAGCCAACCATGAACACCTCAGCACTGAAATCTATTCATTATCTGACTTGCACAGAAGGGTGTTACACAGTGGGAAACTATATCCATAATGTCAAGAAATGAACAGAAATTACTAGAAGATAAGACCTTTATCATGTTTCAATAGCAACAGGGAAAAAACAGATAAGAATACCTTCTGCACTCTGGCAAGTAAACGGGTAAGATTGCTTTTTAAACTTCTCACTTGCTCAAGATTCTTCGTGCTAACATTCATAGCCAGTTCATCCAAAACTGGGTAAGCATCTCTCTCCAGCTCTGCCACGCTAGAGTCTAAGAATGTACAAACAACCTCCAATGCTATCTCCAGCACCTGAAACTCAAATGGTAGCTCAGCCTGCAGACCCTCGACAGCTTCTGGAACAGACAACCAGTGTCCAGCAGTTGGAAATTGTCCTTCATTATCTTGTTCAGCACTAGTACCATCAACCTTTGAAAGAATTTTATGAGGAAGTTGTTGCCTCAGTTGATCCACAAATGGGAGAACCTCTTGACGTAGAGGATCAAGCAACAATACCTCTTCAGCGGTAATTATGGCTCTTATAAACTCCAAATTGACAACCATGGCCCTCTCCCTTGCTGCAAGTTAAAAGAAAGGAGCTTTTCAATTCCTCGAAACCCAACATCACATTTCTTTCTTTTAAGCATTATAATAGGTACAAGCAATGCTAGAAAAATACACATGTATTATAGCAAAAGCTTCCAACAGCTAAGCTAAACATAATGGTTAAGCTTCCTACAGTTAAGCTAAACATAAAAGTTCAGATATTAATTGTTATAGTTGGAAACACATGAACAAATTTATAAGAAGTTAAAAGGGGCAAAAGAAATTAATATTACCAAGAATGCTAGAGGAGTGAGAGAAGATTGGGCCAAGAATCCTCAAGTCCCTAGCAGGAATTCCAGCACGTTTGATGATAGCGCTCTTATCCCACTCTATCAACTCCGATTGACCCCGCTTATCGAATCTCATCCACAGCCTCGCCGCACCGAGCTTCTTCTTCACCACTTTACTAGTCCCTGCCGCTCCCACAATTGAATTGCTGGCAGCCGCCCCATTTACCACCGGCGGAGGCGGCAACGGCGGCGCCATCGCTTTCTTCCTCCGGCGAATCGAAAATTGGCCCTTCCCCATAGCTCTCTCTGTATCTCTCTCACTCACTCTCACCCCTTTCCCTTAAGATTCTTCTGAGTCTACGTAAACAGAATATATAGATTAATAATGATGAACAATTATTGGGTCGGCAATTAGGGCATGTTCATTTGATTCTTTGTTCTAAACGAAGGAAGGACAATGATTCTTTTTCTTCTGCTGTTTCTCCTTCTTCTTCTGCTTCAACATCTTCCATATACTGAAAGCGTTTTTTAGGGAAAAAGGGGGAGAGTGAGAATTTCAGGCGTGGAGCTTTTGTTGATGGGGGTTACCGAATTGCTAAATTTCTTAATTTGCGTCAATTTTATTATTCCTTCATGTTATATGGGCCCCACTAGTTTTGTTCTTTTATGATTTATTCATTATTTTATTTACAGTTTGGTCCCACATTTGAGTAAAGGCATTGACCTTTCTCTATTGTTTACTTATTTACGTAGGTTCCATACAAAAATTTCCTGTTTTAGTTTAAAACTTTTTGTGATTGGTGATGAAAAAATATTTAGTGTTGTGTTGGAGCAATTGAGTAGGGAATAATAATTTCATTAGATTTCATGTAGCCATTGAGGTCATATGAACTATTGTGGATGCTAAAAATCCATCATGCATTAGCAACATTAATTAATGCAACTTGAAAATAACAAAAATAAGAGAATTAGGGCAATGAAAATAATGCAAAAAGCAAAGAACGATAAAGTTCTCTATTTAATTCCATCTTTAATCTCTCCTTGAGGCTTGAGCAGAATATTGAGTGAAGCTAACCATAAACAAAAGAGCTAAAATTCAATGTTCAGATTATTTGATGAAAATGTGATGATCCACAAAACTCAGGATCTCTTTTGTATAGGTATATGTATAGTAACGTTTAGTTGGTTGGAAAAAAATGGTTTATGAATTATTGATAATAATTTCTTAATCGCGCAAAAAAATTGTTGGACATGCGAGCGAAGTTCATCGAAGGATACAAAACCAAAGTTGTTATGTTTGAGGTGATCTGAAATACAATACTATAGATTGAAATAGGAGAGTTATAGTTAAAATCATCATGCTAAGTTGTGACGACCCAAAAAGGTCATCACCTGTATTCCTACTCCCTCTGTACTTCTGAGGCTCTGGAAACCTCATTTGGGGTTGCCTCGAGTTGTGTGCGCTGTCCGGGCGCGTAGCCGGAAAAGTTTAAATATGAAATTTGTGTGAAAAATTGTTAAATCTTGGTATTTAATTGATTAAGTTTGACTTCGGTCAACGTTTTGGGCAAAGGGACCCGAACCCGTGATTTGACGGTCCCGGAGGGTCCGTAGGAAAATATGGGACTTGGGCGTATGCGCGGAATCAAATTCCGAGGTCCCAAGCCCGAGAAATGAATTTTTGTGTGAAATTATTTTCTAGAAATAACTAAGGAAATTGGAAATGAAATTTGATTAAAAGACTGTGGTATCGGGCTCGTATTTTGGTTCCGACGCCCGGTACAAGTCTTATATACGGCTTAAGTACTTTCTGTAAAGTTTGGTTGAATTTGGACGTCGTTTGACGTATTTTGGACTAAAAACTCTAAACTTGATGTTTTATGAAAATTGGAAAGAAATCCTGGGTCTTGAGGCCTAATTTGATGATTATGATATTGTTTGGGCGATTTGATCGCACGGATGAGTCCGTAGGATATTTTTGAATTTATATGTATGTTCGGTTTGGAGCCCCGAGGGCTCGGGTGAGTTTGAGTAGGTCCTGGGAGGTCTTAGGCTAGAAGTATCAGATGGTTGCAGGTTCAGGTGCTGCAGGCCCCCAGCGCGGCCGCGGTCATTTCCGCGCGGTCCGCACTGGAAGCCGCGCGGCCGCGGTCATTTCCGCACGGTCCGCGCTGGAAGCCGCGCGGTCCGCGTGGCTAGGTTCAGAGGGCCAGTGGTTCAAGTCGACCAGCGCGGCCGCATGACTAATCAGCGCGGTCCGCGCTGGGTAGGTTCAAAGAGTGGTTTTCCCACTCTTCCTCGGCGCGGCCGCGGGGCATTTTTGTGCGGTCCGCGCCGGGTCTTCAGCACAGTATATAAAGTCGGGATTTTCAGTCATTTTTCACTTTTTCAAAACCCAAAACATAATAGGCGATTTTCCAAACGATTCTACTTCTTCAAAACGATTGGTAAGTGATTTCTAACTGATTTTCTAAACTCCTTAACATCTTTAAACATAATTTGAAACTTCAAAACAAAGATTTTAATGGGGAAATTGGGAATTTAGGGTAGAACCTAGGTTTTCTAAAATTGGGGGTTTTGGACCTCAATTCGAGGTCCGATTCCAAAATAACTTACATATTTGAGTTCATGGGGGAATCGGTAATCGGGTTTTGGTTCGAACCTCGGGTTTTGACCATGTGGGCCCGGGGGCATTTTTGACCTTTTGGGGTAAATTGATGAAAAAGCTATAATTAGTCATTGGGTTTAATTTGTTTAGCACATATTGATAACATGAAGTCCTTATTGCATAGATTTGGTTGAGTTGGAGCCGAATTCGAGAGGGAAAGAGATTGTGGAGAATTGTATTGGCCGTGGAAGTTGAGGTAAGTGTTTGGTTTAACCCTAGCTTGAGGGAATAGGAGTCGAGTCTTGTTTGCTAATTGTTAAATGATCGAGTACGATGTATAGGCATGGTGACGAGTTCCTATACATCGGTGTCTAGCATGACCGTGAGTCCTTGTATGTGGACTATTTGGATATTGTTATGCCTTCCATGCTTAATTGATGGTTTCTATGCGTTGTAAATACCTTGTAAGGAATATTGTGATTGTGGAACTTCGTGGAGCATCGGTTTGGTCTGAAACATAAATGGTGAGAGTATATGAGATGAGAAATGCCTTGGAGCTTGTCACGTGTGCTAATGAGAACTAGGATATGAAAATGAAAGAAAAAAAGGAGAAATAACGATTTACTCTTGCATGGTCATTATTGGTTGTTTGTGTACCCTTGTTGGGATTTCCTTCCAAATACTTGTTCACTCCCTGCCTTTTATTTGTGACTGTTGCTTGGGCAAGGTTGAGAGGTAGACATTACGGATCGGGTTGCACGCCGCAACAGTGATAATTTTTGATCGGGTTGCACGTCGCAACAGTGATAATTGTGGATCGGGTTGCACGCCGCAACAGTGATAATTGTGGATCGGGTTGCACGCCGCAACAGTGTTGATTGTGGATCGGNATGGGCAGTCTTGCTTATATTCCAGTCAGTCAGAGGCCGCTTGCTTTGGATGTTCAGGCTTTAGCCAATCAGTTCGTGAGAGTGGATGTTTCTGAGCCCAGTCGTGTGTTAGCTTGCACGGTTGCTCGTTCTTCGTTATTGGAGCGTATCCGTGATCGGCAGTTTGATGATCCCCATTTATGTGTCCGTAGAGACACGGTGCAGCGAGGAGGTGCCAAGCAGGTTACCTTAGGTGCGGATGGAGTTTTAAGATTGCAGGGGCGAGTTTGTGTGCCCAATGTGGATGGGCTCTGAGAGTTGATTTTAGGGGAGGCCCATAGCGCCAGGTACTCCATTCACCCGGGCGCCGCAAAGATGTATCAAGACTCGCGGCAGCATTATTGGTGGCGTAGGATGAAGAAGGATATCGTAGCATATGTGGCTTGTTGTTTGAATTGTCAGCAGGTTAAGTACGAGCATCAGAGGCCTGGTGGCTTACATCAGAGGATTGAGCTTCCCGAGTGGAAATGGGAGCGGATTACTATGGACTTTGTTACTGGACTTCCGTTGACCCCGAAGAAGTTTGATGCGATATGGGTTATTGTTGATAGGCTGACCAAGTCAGCGCATTTCATTCCTGTGGCAGTCTCCTATTCTTCTGAGAGGTTCGCTGAGATCTATATTCGGGAGATTGTTCGCCTTCATGGTGTGCCCGTGTATATCATTTCGGATCGGGGTACGCAGTTTACCTCACGCTTCTAGAGAGCAGTTCAGCGAGAGTTGGGCACAAGGGTAGACTTGAGCACAGCATTTCATCCCCAGACGGACGGTCAGTCCGAGCGGACTATTCAGATTTTGGAGGATATGCTCCGAGCTTGTGTTACTGATTTTGGAGGTTCGTGGGATCAGTTCTTGCCTTTGGCGGAGTTTGCTTACAACAACAGCTACCAGTCGAGCATCCAGATGGCTCCTTATGAGGCTTTATATGGTAGGCGATGTCGGTCTCCGGTTGGATGGTTTGAGCTGGGAGAGGCTCGGTTGATAGGTACGGATTTGGTTCAGGAGGCCTTGGATAAGGTCAAGATCATTCAGGAGAGTCTTCGTTCATCTCAGTCTAGGCAGAAGAGTTATGCAGACCGTAAGGTTCGAGATGAGCTTTCATGGTTGGCGAGCGGGTATTGCTCCGAGTGTCGCCTATGAAGGGCGTGATGAGATTTGGGATGAAGGGAAAGCTTAACCCTAGGTACATCGGCCCGTTTGAGATTCTTGATCGAGTTGGAGAGGTGGCTTATAGACTTGCGTTGCCGACCAGCTTATCAGCCGTGCATCCAGTTTTCCATGTATCCATGCTTCGGAGGTATCACGGCGATCCTACCCACGTGTTAGATTTCAGTACTGTCCAGTTGGACAAGGACTTATCCTATGAGGAGGAGCCGGTAGCTATTCTGGACCGGCAGATTCGTCAGTTGAGATCCAAGAGTTTTCCTTCTGTTCGTGTTCAGTGGAGAGGTCAGCCTCCTGAGGCATCGACCTGGGAGTCCGAGTCTGATATGCGAAGCCGTTATCCCCATCTTTTCCCCGACTCAGGTACTCCTTTCTTTTGTCCGTTCGAGGACGAACGGTTGTTTTAGAGGTGGAGAATGTGACGACCCAAAAGGGTCATCACCTGTATTCCTACTCCCTCTGTGCTTCTGAGGCCCTGGAAACCTCATTTGGGGTTGCCTCGAGTTGTGTGCGCTGTCCGGGCGCGTAGCCGGAAAAGTTTAAATATGAAATTTGTGTGAAAAATTGTTAAATCTTGGTATTTAATTGATTAAGTTTGATTTCGATCAACGTTTTGGGCAAACGAACCCGGCCCGTGATTTGACGGTCCGTAGGAAAATATGGGACTTGGGCGTATGCCCGGAATCAAATTCCGAGGTCCCAAGCCCGAGAAATGAATTTTTGTGTGAAATTATTTTCTGGAAATAATTAAGGAAATTGGAAATGAAATTTGATTAAAAGACTGTGGTATCGGGCTCGTATTTTGGTCCCGACGCCCGGTACAAGTCTTATATACGGCTTAAGTACTTTCTGTAAAGTTTGGTTGAATTTGGACGTCGTTTGACGTGTTTTGGACTAAAAACTCTAAACTTGATGTTTTATGAAAATTGGAAGGAAATCCTGGGTCTTGAGGCCTAATTTGATGATTATGATGTTGTTTGGGCGCTTTGATCGCACGGAAGTAGGATGTTTTTGAATTTATATGTATGTTCGGTTTGGAGCCCCGAGGGCTCGGGTGAGTTTGAGTAGGTCCCGGGAGGTCTTAGGCTAGAAGTATCAGATGGTTGCAGGTTCAGGTGTTGTAGGCCCCCAGCGCGGCCGCGGTCATTTCCGCGCGGTCTGCGCTGGAAGCCGCGCGGTCCGCGCTGGAAGCCGCGCGGCCGCAGTGCGTTCTTGCGCGGTCCGCGTGGCTAGGTTCAGAGGGCCAGTGGTTCAAGTCGACCAGCGCGGCTGCGTGACTAATCAGCGCGGTCCGCGCTGGGTAGGTTCAGAGAGTGGTTTTCCGACTCTTCCTCGGCGCGGCCGCGGGGCATTTTTGTGCGGTCCGCGCCGGGTCTTTAACACAGTATATAAAGTCGGGATTTTCAGTCATTTTTCACTTTTTCAAAACCCAAAACATAAGAGGCGATTTTCCAAAAACGATTCTACTTCTTCAAAACGATTGGTAAGTGATTTCTAACTGATTTTCTAAACTCCTTAACATCTTTAAACATAATTTCAAACTTCAAAACAAAGATTTTAATGGGGAAATTGGGAATTTAGGGTAGAACCTAGGTTTTCTAAAATTGGGGGTTTTGGACCTCAATTCGAGGTCCGATTCCAAAATAACTTACATATTTGAGTTCATGGGGGAATGGGTAATCGGGTTTTGGTTCGAACCTCGGGTTTTGACCATGTGGGCCCGGGGGCATTTTTGACCTTTTGGGGTAAATTGATGAAAAAGCTATAATTAGTCATTGGGTTTGATTTGTTTAGCACATATTGATAACATGAAGTCCTTATTGCATAGATTTGGTTGAGTTGGAGCCGAATTCGAGAGGGAAAGCAATTGTGGAGGATTGTATTGGCCGTGGAAGTTGAGGTAAGTGTTTGGTTTAACCCTAGCTTGAGGGAATAGGAGTCGAGTCTTGTTTGCTAATTGCTAAATGATCGAGTACGATGTATAGGCATGGTGACGAGTTCCTATACATTGGTGTCTAGCATGACCGTGAGTCCTTGTATGTGGACTGTTTGGATATTGTTATGCCTTCCTTGCTTAATTGATGGCTTCTATGTGTTGTAAACACCTTGTAAAGGATATTGTGATTGTGGAACTTCGTGGAGCATTGGTTCGGTCTGAAACTTAATGGTGAAAGTATATGAGATGAGAAATGCCTTGGAGCTTGTCACGAGTGCTAATGAGAACTAGGATATGAAAATGAAAGAAAAAGAGAAATAACGATTTACTCTTGCATGGTCATTATTGGTTGTTTGTGTACCCTTGTTGGGATTTCCTTCCAAATACTTATTTACTCCCTTGCCCTTTATTTGTGACTGTTGCTTGGGCAATGTTGAGAGGTATACATTACGGATCGGGTTGCGCGCCCCAACAATGTCATATGAGTATCGGGTTGCACGCCGCAACAGTGATAATTGTGGATCGGGTTGCACGCCGCAACAGTGATAATTTTGGATCGGGTTGCACGCCGCAACAGTGATAATTGTGGATCGGGTTGCACGCCGCAACAGTGTTGAAATGTATTAGGGTCGGGTTGCGCGCCACAACAGTTATTGATGCAAATGTGTTTAGTGTTGGTATTAGTTTCTTGTTCGCCTTAAATTTTAAATGGCACCTAGATTGATTACTTTGGATTTACTGTTAATATTGTTATCTCCCCACAGCATGTTTCCCCTCCCATACTGTTAGTTGCCTTGTACTTCGATTTCTGCTGTATATTTATAATTGCACAGGTTTATGTGAGGTCCAGTCTAGCCTCGTCACTACTTCGCCGGGGTTAGGCTAGGCACTTACCAGCACATGGGGTCGGTTGTGCTGATGCTACACTCTGTGCATTTTTGCACAGGTCTAGGTATTGAGCAACAACAGCATTAGCACGGGGGCGAACCTTCAGTCCAGAGAGACCCGAGGTAGCTTGCAGGCGCCCGCAGGCCCGACGTCTCCCTTCTATCTTATGTTTGGCTGTCATCTCATTGTACCCGAGATAAACAGATTTGTTCTTCCAGACTTTGTATGTAGTACTCCTTAGATGTTCGTGAGTATGTGACTCCAGTCCCGGGGTAGAGATATATGTGTTGGAACTTCTGTATTATCGATCATCTATCTACATTTAAGTCTTCCGCTTATGATTTTAATTCCGTCACCTTTATTTAATGCCGTTAATTGTTAAAAAGGAACATGTGTTTAATGAATTTGTTAATTAAGTTGGCTTGCCTAGCTCCTATTAGTAGGCGCCATCACGACCCTCGAGGGTGGAAAATCCGGGTCGTGACATAATTGAGACTCAGGGGCGGAGCCAGAGAGTCCAATGCGGGTTCAGCTGAACATTGTATTTGTTTGAAAGCTTTCATTAAATATGTACAATTTATTAATGTAGAACCCAGTAACTTACACTCTGTTTGGATCATTGTTCCCCATCGTTTTATAATGTATTGTATTGTATTGTACCGTATTGTACCGTATCGTTTTATGAATACAATGTTTGGATAGATTGTATTGTTTGTTATTGTTAAATAATATTTTATTGTTTGGTTTGAATGTATCGTACTGTACCGTAACTGATAAGTTTACTAAAATACCTTCAATTGTTTAAATATTAAATTTATCAAAAATTATGCATAAAAATAATTTTAAAAAACAAAACAGAAGAAGGCAAAACACAATAAGAAAGCAGAACAAAGGAGCGAGACAGAAGAAGGCAAAACAAAGGAGCACAACTAATTAGAATTGAGTTACAAGCAAATTAGGAGAAAAAAATAAAACAGAAGGCAGCAAAACACTTTTAACATTGGTTTGGAAAAAAACAAAGTAGGTTATAAGTTGGAGATTTGGAATTAAAAATAGATAAAAGATAAAGGGTAAAATAGAATTGTGGAATAACAAGTTAGAACATAATTGGAAAGAAAAATAGGAAACAATCCCACCACACCAAATCGGTTGTTTCAAAAAAGGGGATTTTTTATTGTTCCGGAACAATGGATTTAACAATACAATATAACCAATTTTAATGAAACAATTAAAACAAACATTGTTTTGGGATAACAATACAATACGATACAACGAGGAACAACCATCCAAACAAGCTGTTAATATGATTAGAATCCCGAACCCACAGTGCTCACGCCTCGATTTTCACGAAAAGAAGGCAAACCAATTACTCTGATGACACAAAGTACAAATTCAGTAGCTGACAAGCAGAAAAGAAGAAGAAAAAGATAGGTGAAAACAAACCAACTATTTTGGTGAGAAAGGGAAAACAAAAAATAAAGATGACCACAGTGGGAGTCGAACCCACGACCTTCTGATCCGAAGTCAGACGCGCTAATCCACTGCGCTATGCGGTCCTGATTTGGTTATGTTGAACTGACTATTTATTTTACCACTTGTTTTGATTCCAGAACAGATTGTTTTTTTCCATTGTGCTTTTATGTATCCACATATATAGTACAACTTTTGTTTCTATTTTAATGTTTTGCTGGAAAAGGTTATAACTACCCTAAAGTTGAATATGAAGACAGCAATTCAACAACTTTGATGATCATGTTGCACTTTTCATAGTGGGAGTGGATATCGATCGGCTGGATTATGTTTTGAATGTTATCGATTCGGCATATCGGCTATAGAGTTTGTCGATATTTTCAGGTCAATCATATTGATTTACTTATCATTAAAGAAGACCAAATAATGCATAGTAATACTGTACAGAAACTTAAAAAAAATGTTACTACTACTATATTCAGCTCATAATTAATATTTTTGAGTGTTCAAAGAATGTCAAAATTGTAAACAGAAGAAATCATTCATGGAGTATATATATCATATGTAAAATGGAATATTTTCCAGCCTAGACAACTTTTTCCATCTTTAAGGAGATGGAGCATACTGTTCAGTGAGCTTCAATTTGGAATACTAGTTTCCCTTCCTTCACTGGCTCTTCATTCATGTTCCTTGGATTTGCTTCAATACTTGGAACTTCAGATGCAAAAATGCATTTCATGTTGTGCTACTATATGATTGTTACGTGGTAAGAGCGTCGGGAAGATTGGTTGGTGCCCCAAGAATCTTACCTCCAACATCAGGGAAACACTCAAATCCAGGCAGTGCTGTGACTTCTCCATTTTTACTTACCTGAACTGGATATTGCATTAAATGACCTTTCATCGGCCGATATTCATCTGCTACAAATGCTTGCCAGTTACGTCTAGCTATCACGTTAACACGTCTAACACATTCGATAGTCTGTGGATCCATGAACACATCTTCAACTGCACCAAGATGTTCAGCCCATAGAGACATCCGATAACCATAAACCTGAATGCAAGAAAAAGAAAAGGAAAAAACTTATTGCCACAGATTATAAGGTTATACATCCGCGAGCCCCTAAATTTGCTCGTGCTGAACTCGAATAAAGGTAAGGAATGAATCAAACTCCAAACCTGGCCATGTGGATGAGACTCCTTTTTGGCCCATGTGTAATGTGGTTGATAAGCTCCCATAGCTATTTCTGAATCCCTTGAACCACTCAAAGATCTTTGGTTTATATTTGCAGAACCCATCAACACATATTCATCATCTGCTATCATTCCTTTGGAGTGTACATAAATCATAAATCTGCGGAACTTTTGAGCTAATTCCTGCAGAGGTTTGAAGAGAAGAAAAGAGAAGAATTTCAGTGTATAGTCAGGATTTGATTGTTGACAGTTTAAATGGAAATGGATGACAAAAGCTTTATAAGAACTTTAAGAGTTATCAGTTGACATAAATTTATTCTACAAGCATCATACTGCTGATCCTAGAAATAGCAGTATGATTTCCACCAAATTTGATGATTTTGGTCGTCATGGCTGGAGCTACCGTATGAGTTACGGGTTTGGATGAATCCAATAGCTTTTGTTTAGATATTAAAAATACATTAATTATGTATAACTATTTAATTGTGAGCTATGAGTTCGATGGCTAGTTCAGAACCCATAAACTTTATATCCTAGCTCCGCCTATGTTGGTCGTGACGAACCTAGCACTATCCAAAATTAGCACAAGTAAGTTCGCCCGTACTTCCTCTGATGACTCCCATTCATTCTTCTTCATTTCATCGTCATGTTGTTGCTTGTTCTTAAATGAGAATATAAAGAGAACTAGCAATTTCACTCTTCATATGCAGTTGGTGTTTGAGCATCACCACCATCACTAGTTAAAGGGCAGCCCGGTGCACCGCTATGCGCGGGGTCCGGAAGGGCCAGACCACACAAAGGTCTATTGTACACGGTCTTACCTGCATTTCTGCAAGAGCTTGTTTCTACGGCTCGAACCCCTGACCTACTGATCACATGGCAGCAACTTTACCGGTTACGCCAAAACTCCCTTTCACCACCATCACTACTTCTGAAGTCTTAATTGGTGCCAACATCTATAAAATCCAGTAACTTCAATGACATCAAAACCTAATTTAGCTAACCAACAAATAACACTTTAGGTAAACTACTATATAATCGGGCCATAAGTGAAAATCCCGGTCCCAGAAAATTAACATGCAACTTACATGCGAATGCTCCTGGGGAGTTGGATTATCTTCGTCACATCCTCCACGCTTCTTTGCTTCTCTATTACCAAGGCAGTAGAAGTTCAAGTAATCCTGAGGATGGAAAAATTGAGATATGCCTGCATTTTCAAGAGCCTGTGCAACAATTTTGTACATCATAGCCATTGTTTGACCCTGCGATTATCCCAATCCATATCCAAGATTCAGATGTTTATAAAAGCATAGTCTAGAAACTACAAATTCAAGATAAGACTAGTTCGAGTTAACCAGGAGTAAAAGTGAAAATCATGGTTCTCTTAGCTGACTACGTAAGTTTAACCACATTTGGGTACTTGAGTTTGCCTTCATCACCGGAGTGGAGCTCAAACTTCTCATTCGATATATTACTTTGTACTTACTTCCATAGTAATCGACATCTACAGCTAAAAAATAAAGACCTCTACTATAAATAAGCACAGTACTAAATCCAAACCTGCCAAAAGAGAATTTCCTGCACTGCATTACTGGTCGGGATTCCTTCAGGCCACATTGGAACCACAATGTATGCAGCAAAAGGTTCATTTGCTGCTATTTTGCTGGCAATTTTCAAAGCAATTTCCATAGGGACAAGGTTATTTGCACCTATTAATTATATACAATACGCACACGTTATGCATTGACATTCAGTGAGAGTTGAAATCCGATTTTCTTGTAATAAGTCAATATGCTCATCATTTGCATCTTTTTTTAAAAGATAAAGTAATAAATTTCAATTATAGAAGGGAAAACACCCCCGTATACAAGAAGTATACCAAATAAAGTACAAAAACCTACAAGGCAGTACGATAAAATAAACTGGAGCCAATGCCATCCTACACCAAAATAATGCCATGCATCGCCCACAGAAACATCATGAAGCATTGGAGAGAATATATGTATTAAAGGTTGCATCAGAAATTACACCTATATCCCAACCAGAAATCCAATCCTCTATATCCCAATCGAGCTTTCTGTTTATAACAGTATTCTTTTGCTAGGCAAAACTTTAAGACTATCGCTAGCATACTTGAGGACGACTTTTGAATCGAGATAGGAACAGTTGTATACCTGCATTTCGGTAGCACGGCCAACAATATGAAGAACCAAGAAAATACTGATTCTCTATATAAATGAAGTGTTGAGCAGATCGAATTGCTTTCACGTAAGCCAGGTGTATGCTTCGGTCTATCCTCAAATTCTTTCCACTGACAAGATTCTGTAATTGAACAGTCAAAATTAGACATTCATCTTCACATGCTGAATTGATTTCTGAGACAACATTGAAACCAGTTACAGATAGAACACTGCTTTTTATAAACTTAGTGCTACCTGTGCCCCTGCTTCCTTAACGTCCTTTGGAAAACCTTTCACAGATCCTGAATCTATTGATCGGAAAACCTGGAAAAAGTGATTATACTGAAAATTTTAACATTTTAAGAAAACAAAAGACCACAACATATACAGGAGAAACATGCATGTCTAATACCTGAACATGCCAATTTTCTGGATCTTCTTCTCTTGTGACACGAACTACATGGTCACCATCAGGTCCATCAGCAGGTATGTGGATTGATGGAATCCGGTCTAACTTAAGTAATGAATCTAACCCCGGTTTGCACTTTTTTATTCTGATCCATTTTATGGCCTTTCTATATCTCTGCTCGAAGTTTGTTAAAACATCGTAAGCAGCAGGACCTTCAATCTTGCAGTGTAAATCATGCCATGGTTCTCTTGGCCCACCTGAGCAACTCTGTACATATCGCATAAGTCTTTGAGACAATACTAATGATACATTATGTATTAACAGGCATTAATAATACCCATGAATGAAAAGATCCAGTCAACATTCATGGGAAAGGTGTAACATTACTCTACAAAATTTGTGCCCACATGCGAAACTTAGTAGCATTGTGAACTTAAGATTCGTTATCTCAGCCACTATACCTTTGAGAACGGTAATAGCAATGTTCATTTTCACCTATTAACCTCATAATTAACATGAAAAATTGTAACCTGAGCTGTTAAGTAGTTTGGATAATCCATAAACACGGTATATGTCATATATACTTTCAAACTTTTAGAGGCTTTTGGTTCCTCAAATAAAAACCTTAGTCTGAAAGATTCAACGAGATGCAAGACAAGAGCTTACTGTGAATGTGGGATTGTGAACATCATTTTCAAAGACAGTATCAAGATCACTAAACAGTCTGTGTTCAGGAGTATCATATCGGCCATCACATAAATCTAGGCCTCCAATAAAAGCAGTAATTTTTCGATCATTGTTAGCTGCCTGTGTGTCAACAATCACACATTTCTGATGATGTGTGAAAATATTTCCAACAACCTGCAGTACAAGGTTTTCATTTGATCAAGAAGAAAACAATAACGATATATGATGATTCCCAAGCAGTTGCATGTAAACAAAGAACACCAGTATAGCAATAAATAAGAAGCTTAAACTTTTATCTTTGTTCAAAATACAAGAATTTTTTTCTTACAGAAATCATGGACATAAGTATTCATCTTGCCATCTATTCAAACAGAATAAAAAAAGGTACCTGTTGCTTGAAAATGCTAAGCTTACTGCTAGCGGAACGAGGACAAAGAACACAGTGGACACTCGAGTGTTTAAAGTACTTTCTGGTCTCTTCATCATGAGTCTGCATTACACCTTCCTGCAATCAAATTCATAACAACTATGTCATCAAATTATTAACTGACTACTCATAGCAATTATAGCAGTAATATTACCGTCTTGAGGAATAAATCATCATTTGAAGTTTTGTCATCCCAAATGAGCAAAATGACACGAACTCCTTCTTCCGATTTATACTTTAGCAGTTCCCCTAGCTCTAGCCAGCCAGCAGAAGGAACTGGCCTTGTAGGTTCTCTTATGAGTCGAACCGGATGATACACAGACCAACCAACAATATATATCAGATGTTGTGCCTCCAATATGGCATGACATATGTCTTCCCAACATTTATTACGGTTAAAAACCTTCTCATTATCTAGCAAAATGTCAGGAAATGTTTCATCAGGCACATGAGCATCTTGATAAAGCGTAACACTTCCTCCTTTTCGTAGAGGAAAATAAGTATGCGGAACTCCCTTTTGATCAGCCTCGTTACCAACACCATTTCTATACATAGGGTTCTCTGCTGTCGGCCTATATAGGATCGACAGATGCAGTTGAGCACCCGTGTCCAAGGGATTCCCAGAAGATCCTCGAATAGGAAACCAACCATTTATTTGATCACCTTCAACAATTTTATTAGCAGGTATCTCCACTATTCCTATCAATTCAGCACCTACTCTATCATTATCCTTGACTATAAACTCTACTTTGTCTACCGCGTGAGCAACTGGTACGCATAGATGCTCATTCCATGTCGGATTTTCATCATTTAGAATAACTGCTGTTCGAGCTATACTTGCTCCAGCTAGACACACGGATACATACGGGTCACTCGTATCTATTAATCCTGACGCGTTATTGTTGTCCTTGCTTTTCCAAGAGAACATAGGAAGACATTTAGCATCTAAGTTTGGAAGTGCCTTTGCTTCTATAATCCATAAGTCTAATTCTCCATGTAAAAGTACTGGACTTCCAGAAATGTCTTGAATGTTCTCAGTAGCCTTTAACGGCATACCAGGTACTCCTGCCGCAGGGGCACTTGTCTGCCTTTCCAGCCAATTACCAACTGAATGTATCATTTTCCTTCTTTTGTAACTGTACAAATATTAAAAGAACAATGAGAAAAGCACATCAACTGCAATCTACTATAAGTGAAGTCTAATATTAGCCTCTATTATACTGCATTGAATTGCCAAAATGACATCTTTTTAAGGAATCAATAATTCAGTTTCTAGAACCTGAAATTTATATTCATGATTGAAATATCAGATACACATTTTTTTTTTGGGATGGCTTGAAAATGATCGATAGCATGATGGAAAAGAACAGTGAACTGAACACAACAAACAAATTATAACCATTTATTCAGTTTTTTGTAACATTTCATTGGGGGGAAAAACTCTGGTTCTTTTAATGGACCGATGAACATGATACTCTAAATTTGAGGAAGCCTTATTACATTCTACAAAAGCATTTCATATAGGTCAAGATGATCTAGTAATGGAATTGTTGAGGACAATATTTGATTATATATACATTAGCTTTAATGTTTTGACATGTATAAAATTCAAGAAGAATATGCACTTAGAAACCTACGGTGAAGTTGATGCTAGCTGCAACTATCCATGTTAGAAATCAGATTATTACAAACCAAATACGAATTCCAGATTATATGACATTATGTCTTCACCTATAAACAAATTGAAGTAACTAATTATAATATAATATCTTGTGGTTTTCTGCTAATTCCTTCTCTACTAGTCTGCTAAGCAAGATTCAGCCCCTCACTGAATAGTAGTTTCCCTATTATTATGATGTTACATGGCCAAATACAACAAGAAATTCAATTATGTATATGAATTATAGAAATCAAATTTCATCTGCTCCTGATGTAGAAATACCTTGACGCCTTCAATATCCTATACTCGATAGCACTAACTATAACTCAAACCTTCATAACCTCAGCTGTCACTGTAGCTCGAAATTCAATCAAATACCATGATAATCACTAATAAAGAATAAGCACATTTTACAGAATTGCCAATTAATTAGTAAATATTAAGTTTAAGATCAGCTCCAAAATGAAGCAATCTTGATCAGATTAGAAGGTGTTGGCACATATATGATCATAATAAATAAAAAAATCTCAGTTTCCATGTTGAAACTTAAAAGAGATGCAACAAGCCAACAAATAACCGCGAAAACTATCAAATTAAACACAAAAAATGTCACTAATAAGAAAATAATACTAAAAAAATCCTATGAAACAGTAGCTGCATGTGTATTCTGACCGGGGCAATATTATATATGTAGTCGAATCAAGGATTTAATTCACAATGAGTGTGATCTTGTTATATGTATGATTTTTTCATGTGTTCTTTTTGCATGAGTACTAGCTCGAATAGAAAGTAATGTGTTTAGTTGAACTCACATAATCCGCCTCTGGATTTATAAAAAGATCATAATGCACAGCAGATTCACATTTTACCCCAGGGGTGTTTGTGTTTTCTGTTTTCATGCATTATTTTACCTGGAGATAGAATGGAGTGACTAGAGAGAAAATAGTGGCCAATAAGTGAATTGAATGTTGGTAGTTTGTCATAGTGCTTTCGGAAAAGGAAAAGTTTAACTGTCTGACACCGAAATTGGTGGGTAAATTGCCACGAATTATTTACCATCGGATCTGCCTAAAGTTTTTTTTTTCGGTGAAAAAAGAAAATAATTAGGCATGTTTTAATACGGATACACCTGTAAGCAATTTTCAGTAAAAATAGCACGGTCTAGCCAGTTTTCGGATTGGTCATTCAAAAATAGCCAGCGTTTACCAAGTCAATGAAAAATAACCACTATTTTGCTGCAACAGAGACCGGTCCAGCATAATATACTGGAGTTCGGTGCACCTGTGTATGAACTTCCAGCATATTATGCTGAAACTCCAACACACGGAAAGTTCCAGCATAAATATACTGGAGGTTCGAGCACTTGTGTATGAACTTCCAGCATATTATACTGGACCGATATACTTGCTGGAACTACAGTATATTATGCTGGAGATCTAGTGTACTTATGCTGGTACTCCATCATATTATGCTGGAGTTCCAGCATACCTATCCTGGAACTCCAGTATAATATGCTGGAGATGCTGGAACTCCAGCATAATATGCTGGAGTTCAAGTATACTTATGCTGGAACTCCAGCATAATATACTGGCGTATTTTTCGGGTTTTGAACAGTGTTTTCGCTCAGATTTATCTTTACATGAAAAGTGGCTAAATTTCGATTACTTTTGAAACTTGACTATTTTTTAACGACAACTTGTAAATCTGGCTATTTTTGAATTTCTTCCCAATTTTCACATAATCAGGTCACTCACTTAAAATTTGTGATCATTAATCTTGAAAAGAAGAAAATAATAGGAAAAAACTTTTAAAGAAAATACATGTGATACTATTAATTCAATTGTAATTTACGTGTATGCCCGGCATGATACGACTCAACCTATTTTATTGGTAGATGGCATTTTGATTTAGAGTGTAATTGGTGAATATTGTTTTATATAATTCTTAAAATGGGTTACAAACCCAACAATATATTGGCTAACTTTTGTTGATGATACTTTTGTATCCCATCAGGGATTGTATTATATATACTAGTCTTAGTGTACGTGCGTTGCACGTGTTTATTACGTCGATAATAAAAAAAATTATTGATAAACTATATTTTTCATCTTATAAATAATATTAATATCATGTTTTGATCAAATTAATTAAAATAGTTTCGATTAAAAATTTTGAACTCAATATTAAATAATGTGTCAGCACAAGTTGCTTCGTGCCACACCTCCTTTTTCACTACTACACCCCGTGAAGGGTATAATAAAATGAGTTTTTCCACTTAAAGGACAATCGGAACGGGATTTATTATTAAGATTTCAGAGTCGCCACTTGGGAGATTAATGGTGTCCCAAGTCACCGGTTGAATCCCGAACCGAGGAAATTATGACTCTGTTTAACAGTCCGCGATCCAGAAATCCGAGTAAGGAATTCTGTTAACCCGGGAGAAGGTGTTAGGCATTCCCGAGTTCCGTGGTTCTAGCACGGCCGCTCAACTGTCATATTTGGCTTATTTATCTGATTTTACAACATGTTTTAGTCTATGTGCTTTTTAACCGCTTTTATTATTATTATTTTAAAGAGGATTGCAACGTCATGAAAATATGTCTCGAACCGCGTCACATAAATGCACCCGCGATTTTTGACACATTTTGACTTCGTTGAGATTTGGATTTGGGTCACATAAATGCGCACCCGAGTTTAGGAAGGTAATGTTATTAAAAGACGCGCTTAAAGAAGCTAACACGTTATTATCTTTGGGGAAAGCCGTGAAATGCACTAAACGGCTCATCCCGACGTCTAAGTATTTTTATAAACATTTATCGAGGGCCCCGCAGTTTATGTGTTTTGTTTAGCGAGGCTCATCTCATTTATTATTTCAAAGGCAAATCTAAAGTAAGCTAAGGTTTTCTATTTAATTGTCTCTAAAGTAAAAAAAAAATAAAAAAAATCCTAATTAATTAAAATTATTAGCCTAACCAAGCCCAAGGAGTAAGAATTGCAAACCAATCCTACAACCGAAATCAACCATACGTAGGCTTTGGCCCAGGCCCCAAACGAAACAGGAATAAGCGTTGGCCTGGGCCGTGCATCTAATACCCTGAAGCCCAAACTCTTGAAGCGAGCTGCTGGACCTGATCTTTAAGCAAAATAGGAGTTCAAGAATTCGCTGAATGTACTTTTAGTTATTTCAAATGTTCAATGATTGCAACAAAAGAGTCACTGACTCAAATTAACAAGGTATGACTAAATTCCAATTCTATTTGTTTATCTACTAGTGAACTCCTAATATTCAATAAAATAACAATCAAGCACGAACAACAATAGCAGCGGCTCGACTACTTGGTACCAATTCAACTTAATATTACTAAACTGACACTCAACATTCATGATTCTAGATACGAACTACTGTGATTATGAGCAAGGCTTATAGACTGATTCTCAATTCATTTTTTAATTTTTAATACACGAGGATCGCAAACCTTGAATTCATTTCCTGCTTCAGCTATCCTTCAAGTTTCACTAATTAAAATACACGAAAACAGGACTAAGCTAGCTAAGGCCAATGAATAACTTCCAGTTTTAAAAGTCCAAAGGTCTGTTACAGTTCAGAACAATCCCAGTTTAACTACAATGAACAACTAATCACATCATAGGAGAACTATCTAAAAAACATAACAAAATGCAGCTCCTCAGCAGAAATTCAACTTCAGTTTCATTTCACGTTTTCAACATGTGGAACTACATCGACATAGGCTCGAAATGTGTACCTGGATGTGAAATACAATAAGAAGATCAGCAGCAGTAACAGTTGAGCACACACAGCCCAGAAATAGGATCAGAAATCATGAAATGCTTAAATCAACCCCAAAACAGCCTCAAATTATCCAAAAATGAACCCAGAAATCACATGTAAACAGCCACTGAACCAACATCTAACTCAAACCAATCAGTTTCGAATCAAATTGCTTTCAAATGCAGTCAGATTTCAGATACAGAACAGAATCAGAGAAATTCAAATTGCTTCTGATCCTAAACAAGCTAAGGAGCTGAATTCCTGGCTCGAAAGTGAAAATGAGCTAGGGAAAGGCAACGAAACAGTAGTTTTTTATTTTTTTTTTTGGTTTTCCTATTGTTTTTGATTTTTTGAAGAACTAGATCTAAGGTTCAGATTTTGAAATTCAAATTGGAAACTCAGATTTTCAGAGATGATTTTGGGGGGGGGGGGGGGGAATTTTTGGGGTTTCAAAACTTGTTCTAAGGCACTAGAGGCTGCCTTTTATAGGCAAAGATGAGGGCAACCCCCCAATTTTCTATTTTCCTCTTAGTCCCTATTTTATTTTCAGCTTAGTCCTCTCTTTACTGACTTGTTTCTCAAGTTAACACACTAAAATTACTGAAGTTACACTAAAGTCCTGCTTTAGAAGGTCCTAGAAGATTCTAGTTTCAACTACCATGTGCTATCCAATCTTAAATGTCTAAGCTACCCTTGAATTCAACCTAAAATTACTAACACTAGTTGAACTATCAGCTATAACCAAACCAGCTACTCGACTATGGTTAATCAATCAATGCTAAACCCAATTATCAAAATAGATTTGAAATAAAATTAAACTAACATCACAAAACAAGATTAACCAAAAAATCAGAACCAAAATCAGAAACAAAAACTCATGGAATCAAGAATAATCAAAGGCATAATCCAACTTATTGTATCATGAATTAAAGCTAACCTAATATGAACTAAAACGAACACTAAGAACATGATCGACTTATGGACTAAAATCAGCATAAACCCTAAGCACATTAATCATGAACAAAATAACAAAAATCTGATTGAACATAACAGTCACTCAAAAGAAAAACAGAAAAGGAAAATTAAGGAAATACCTAGATTTGAAAGAAAACCTGACCATCCTAAAAGCTCGAGTCCAAACTCGACTTTCTGATTCCGTCCCCAAATAACATTAATCCTTGTTCTTAGCAAGAACGACGAATACGTTATTAGGAGCGGAACCATACCAAAAGCTCCAAGGAAAAGCGGAATAGAAACCTTGCACGCTCGAGTCTCGAATTAGACTTTTTCAGATTCAAAATTCGAGGGATTTGAATGGCATTCGAGGGATAAGGACGACGGAATCAAGATGAGGGAGGGGAGGTGACCCTAGGGTGTTAATTTGGTGGGATTTGGACACGGAGGGTTTAACTTATTTGAGGCGTTTGATTGGGATTCAAGGGCAAAGGCTTGGGGGCTTGGGAAGAGGGGAGGAAGGCGATTCTACAGTGTTAGTTTGGGCGTCATTGGACGCCGACCGCCGCCGTGAGGCGATTTCCGGCGGCGGCGTAAGGCGGAGCCGGCGGGGACAACAGGTACGAGGAAGAAAGGTTTTGATCTTTAGGGTTTCTTAATTTCAGACAATTTTATTGAAAACCAACGTCGATTATGAGCCGTTGGATTGAAGTGAATAGATGGCTTAGATTTAATTGGCCTTCATTAATCCAAAACGACGTCGTTTTGTATATGGGGGCTGGACCGGATCAAAACCTTTGGGCTGGGGTCAATTCGAACTGGGTTTGAGGGATTGGGCTCGAATTAATTTGATATTGGCCCAATCTTGGGTCTTCATTAGGACATCCCACTCTCTTTTATTAATTGCTTTCTTTTCCTTTTCATTTTGTATTTATTTTTCAATCATTATTTATATTTTTCTGATTTTTATTAAATGCCAAATTAACAACTAACAACCCAAATTAACTTCTAAAATTATATTACTCAATTTTCAAATACCATAAATCCTAATTAAATGCAAACTAAGACAAATTACAAGTATAAATGCAAAAGAACTATTTTGGTTTTTTTTTCTTTATAAAGTAACTCAATTAATCCTAAAATATGAAATTAAACCCTAAATGAAAATGTCAAGTATAGTTTTTTTTATATTTTTCATTG